TCCATATCTTAAATTTTGGTTAAACTCAATTCTTTAAAAGTTTATATAATACCCAGAAATCTTCAAAAATTATTTTTGCCATGCTTTGCCGGCAAGCATAGACCTGTATATAACACGTTTGATTGCTATTCCAACAGGTTTCACTAACGAGGCTAAACATAAAACTTAATCCTGTTAGGCTAATCCATTCCTGTACTCACTCCCTGCCATAACTTTGTTCTTGAATTTATTATTTCAGGTTAATATAAAAAGACAAACTAGAAACACACATTTTACGCGACAGCTGTACAAGCCGATCCATATCGAATTCGCGATTAAAACCGCCCGATTATAGGTGCAGAAATATAACCGATGATGTAACTGATTATGCAGCATTCACAGTTGTGATCGATATGTCAAAAAAGCTGCAACTAACATTTGTCATGATGTTAAATATATGCTGTAATATTGACTTATGTCGTAACTTCAGATGGATAATATTCGGCGATACCAATCACTCGCTATATGAAACTCTCATATGGAAACTAAAAAATGAAGTTAGACTCCAGTCGGTCTGTTAGAATTCTTTCAAAATTGAGAATTTATTTATAAAGATTTTAATATAATGAATTTTCTAAATTTTTTTCTAATAGAATAAGTCACAACACTAAAATTATCTTTTGTTATATAATGTAAGTTCTCGAAAAAAATTATTGTAAAATATATAAAGGACTATTAATTTAATGCAAATTCTTTAAGTGATTAAAGCTTCGATTTGTATATTCTGAAATACATAACAATATGTCACTGTTAAATTACATTTATCACATTTGATCAGGCGACAAATGTCGGCTATTACGACATGCGCAGTTACGATACTTTTTAACGTAACTATACGTCACTAAATTTCTGACTTTATACCATATTTTAAAAAATATTATTTCTGATTTAATTTGTTATTACGAACAAAATTTTTATATTTTTTCGTTTTTGTGTCAACTTAAAATTATACATAAGAACGCATAAAATATATATATAGCTTTGTATACCTAAAATATATAAACTTTTTATTATCCGGTTAAAAAATTTAATAATATACTGTATATATACAATTATTACATTATTATTATAATTTATATATATATATTATTATATAAGTCTAAACAACACAATTATAATATATATAATTACAATGCAATTTTATTTAATATATTAAATTTGTATTATATATAAATATGTTGTAAACATATTTTAATTGATTATATTAAAATAACATTGCAATTATATTATAAAAATATTGTAATAGATTAAATTAATTAGGATTAATAAGTTGTACAATACAATATAACAATGCAAATAATAATATATAAATTATATAATAATAATAAAATAATAATACATATATATAATAATATAAAAATCATATAATTATAAATTATATTGTTTTAATATTAAAATTATATTATTTTAATATAATATTTGTATAATTAAAATCAATCTATGTTTTAGCTAAGATGTTAGTACTTATCAAATAACTATATTTTACTTATTAATGTAGCTTCACTTATATACTGTAAATTATTTGTAATTTTATTTCATAAAAATAATTGAAATAAATTTATTATTTAAAAGGCCTTAATATTGATAAAGAATTAAATACAAAAAATATATTCAAATATAAATTGACATAAAAATATTAACTTAGTTATTGTTACTATCTAAGTAACGAAGTAGTAAGATAAATAAATATTTTTAGGTAAAGAAAATTTAACTATTCTTTGTCATTTTATCATCGCCTTCGATTCTGGTGGCAGCACCCTCTGCTTCCAATCGCTCATTGCCAATAGTTGAGCCAATTTGTTCTTTTACTGTTCCTTTAACTTTGGTGCCGGCACCACCAACATAATCTGCCAATTTGGCTGCTTCTAATTCCT